CTTTTCAAGACTACTTTAGAATTTTAGATATTCAATGGACCTTCATCGTGCTTCAAATGGGCCTTGAATTATGTAGATTAGTAGCATTTGAGTACCCATTGCGAATGAGATAATTTTCCTCTAGGTTAGAGGTTAGTGTTACAGAACTGAGCAAACAAAATATGTTTGAGATTCTGACTTAATGATTTGCATGTAAATCCTTGAGTCTGATGGAGATAGGTATCACAATGTCAAACAAATATTTCTTAGACCCTAGACTCTTCCCCCCGTTTTCACAAAGAATTCTTGGTTATTGCATTTTAAAAACTCAATTAACAACAATAACTCTTCAAGGTCCTTTCTATGAAATTAAGTAGACATTATTACCTCTCAATCTTGTTTATGTGAGCTTTCTCTGTTTCCAATAATATTTGTTATCTTATCAAGAAAGAAAAGATTAAATAGTGGACAAAAACCTAGACATCTAGGCGTTTCTTAGACATTATATTTATGAAGTTTTACGTAACATATTTAAAGGTTTGATTGTATCGTACAACTACAAAATTGAAAAACTCTGCAGTGCTTAAATAAATAATTGAGATCTATCCACAAAACTTTTTATAAAATTTCTTAAGTAATCTTTGAAAAATAGAGTTAGACTAACAAACATACTAATTCTAATAAATTGAGAACTAACACTACTAATAAAAATAAGAAAACTAAGTACTACAAGAATAAAATCCAAAAGCTACTAAAACTATAATAGTAGACTATTAGATAATACAATAATTTAATAGAATTAGAATTTCTAGTTAATTCAGATAATCTAAACTTGGTCCATTATGCATCAAGATGAGGATAAGGTGCTCTCCTACCAAAGTAGAAGGTACAAGGAGAGAAAGCAAAGACATCTGGACAAGATAGCAACCGAATCCTAATTATCTTTATTTTATCTTCTTTTTTTTAATTAAAAAAGATGTCTAATATTCACAAGGATTCAAGAGGACACTTGTATACAAAAAAGTTTACATAGAAGACAAAAGTTCTATTTGGTCAATAAGTTTTATTATTTAGATGGCCTTTTTGTTATACAATTAGGAAAGTTTCATGAATGACATCATAGATTTATTTTTTCTCCTTGCTGTTGTGTTTACTTCATCCTGAAGGGTCGTCTTCCTTTGTTCATTTTTTTTGTGTTTACATTTTTTCTCTTTTTAAATAGTCACTAGGTTAACATGTTCATGGGCGCAACCTTTCTTTCTTCATACAAGATGATAGTTTTGTTTTAGGATAGATATTACATCTAAAATTCTTACAGATGAAAATTTCTTCTTTCTTTAGATCTCTCCTTTTTTCCTCTTTTTGGTTTAAGATTCTTTCATTGCTGATATAGAGTATTGATATCCAACTCGGGATGGCAATTGATAGTACCAAAGCAACACTTGCTGTGAAGCGGAGGCTTGCATGTGAGATGGTGAAATATTGGCAACAGGTAGACATTCGTTGATCTTAATAATCTTTTCTAAATGTTGGATAGGCTTAGAACTTGAGATACAAAAATTTCCTTATATTCTTGGAAGTGGGGGATACTTTGTCTATGGTCTATATCATTGCTATTTGAATATTTTCTAGTTTCTTTTTGTTCTATATAGATTTTATTGTACAAAATTAGGGTTTAAGGAATAGATTATTAATGCAAAAATCCTAAGTATTTGATTGTTTGACCGTAATCATTTGCATATGTATTATTCAGGCATAAGACTCAGTTTTATCTTGTAGCATGGTGGGAGAGAATTTAGAGAAAACTGGGAAAAGGAGAACTCAGTTCACAATCATTGGGATTCGCAATCCAAAATTGTAGGGATCAAATGGACAAGAAAAATAACAATATGGGCTCAACCATAATCATAATCAATGAGAGAATATCTATATAGTCTTATTTGTAAATAGTTTAAAAACAGTAAGACTATTTATATGGCTTCTAGATCCTATTATTTCTCAAACACTAAATAGGAAAGAATAACTAAATAAGAAACAATTAACCTACGATAAAAGCACTATTGACTGTCAAAATACTATTTCCTAACATCCGAGCCAGTGTCTCCACACACTCAAATAAATCCTTCTTCCGCAATACGAGAATGCCCCCTGAATTACCATAAGCCGGTAGGTCTCTCCACTCCACCTCCTTAATTCTCCATAGGCTACGAACAAACCCCTTAGAGAGTGTTTCCATTTTGGTTTTATGTAAGCAGACAACATCTGAATTCTATCAACACATGCATCCTTTGATAACTAGTCTTTTCTTGTGATCATTAATACCTTGCAAATCCCATAATATGATTCGGCTAAACTTTCCAGCTGCCCTCTCCCCTCCTATCGTCCATCCTTGGAACATCATAATTTACAGTGGTAATCGATCTCCTTAGCTCTCTCGACACTTGAACCCCCTGCTTCTCCTTCACCAGAGCCTTTGACGTCTCCTCCCTTTATCTCTCATTTCTTCTCTTCTTAATTTCTCTGAATAACTCTATTGCTTTTCCTTCCAACCCATGAAAAGATACCCCCCAATCCACTTAGCCTTCGGACATTCTTGAGCACACATTAGGAATCCTCTTCAACCATCAGATCACCCATCCACTCACCAGTTGCTTCCTCTGTAGGTTTTTCACTATCTTGAAGAACTAGTAACCTACTGCTACTTATGTCATCATCTACCTCCACCTTGAACACTGGAACCACCTCCAAGCCTTTTTTCCAGGCTCCCCACTCAAGCCCAGACTTGCGTTTTGCTCTTCCCTCTTAGCCTGGACATCAGAAACAACCCCTTTGTGTTGCTTTGTCAACCTTCAGCCTTTGGCATTATAATCAACTTCCTTCCTGGCGCTGGTAGTTTGCTCATTCTTACTGTCTTCTGTCTCTGGGGTCATAAACCTTTTTCTCTGTCGGTTCCTCTGCCTGCTTCACACTTTGCTGCTCATCTCCACTTGCTACAACTACTAAGGTTTTCCTTCAGAGGTCAGGACATCAAGAAAACCTGACTCTTTGTTTTACCCGAGCTCGACCCTGGAAATAGAGCCTACGTATATTAAAGTTTAGCACAGCCCCGTTCCCCCAATCCTCCTTCCTTTCTTGGCCCACAAATTTGTTTTACCCAGCCCGGTCCTTCCTCAAGTTGTTCAATGCTCCACCATCCTTAACTAAAATCTTCAACGGCCCAGCCTCTTCGATCAACTTCCCTTTTTGGGCCCACGAGAGTTTTCTACGCCGCCCACCACTTTTTCTCAAGCTATTTGTCATCTAATTTCATTGCAACGAGTCTGGCCCAAGTCATTCGCCCAGCCCAAACACCTCGCGACAATGCATTTAGGCTTGGCCCAAAAGGGCGTGCTCTCTGCGCGTTTCGACCAGCACTTTGAAATTCAAAATTTTTGGGTCTTGAACTGGGTATGAGTTCTTTCTTCTCAACCTACCTCTCTCCCCGCATCGATTTCTCATCAGCTCCGCAAATGTGCCTCTATGCTTCTTCAGCTCTAGCTACACCTCAACTCAACTTTATAGGTCAGACAGCACGTCATTTCTGGCAAAGCAAACTATTCCCTATGCCCGCTGCTGTGCTGAGTCTTCAGTTCTGTTCCACCATTCTTTTCATTTCCTGGTGGAACCAGCTTTATTCTGGCCACCTTGTGCAGAGCAACCATTAGTTTCCTCCAGCCCTCTGCCTGCACCCCTCCAGGACAAAGATTCTCTTGAAGCCGCTGCCACAGCTTTTTAAAGCACCAAGAACCAAGCTCTCCCACTCGGGCCCAACGCCATCCACAACGTGTGCCGGTTACCTCGCCTACTTCGGCCCAAAGTTTTGCCGCCCTCCTACCAAAAGAAATCTTCAAAAGCTTCATAGTAGCCACGCCACATCCTCCTCGCTGAAAAAGATGGAAGTTCGGAAGCCCCTTCCATTCTTTGAGAGCTTAAGCCCATCTTGTCATCCTTCACCAACAACATCGAATGTTTTTTGTTCAATTGCTAAAAAAATGCCTTTTTCCAGCCAACATTTCGCCTCGTAGTCATTGTTGCTACTAACACAAACATCGCCCCTAATCACCCACGAGCACTTCCCATTCTACTTTCCGTTGTAACCCTAATCTCCTAGGTTCACCATTACTCGTGGCTCACGAAACCCAGCAATCACCGTGCGGAAGAATGTGCTTTACACATGTATAGATTAAATTAGAAAGTCTGAATATAATAGTTAGTCTCCCTAGAAGTAGGATGATTTGGTTAGTTTTTTTTTTTCTGGTGTCATATCCCACAGATTATGGGATGAGAATATCTCACAGATTATAGGATGTGAATATCCCATAGATTATGGAATGTGATTCTGTTTCTAAAGAATAGAGTTTCTGTATATAAACCAATTGTAATTGTAATACAAAGTATAATTTTTCCTCTCAAACTACAACATGGTATCAGAGGTTTAGTCTCTTTTTTTGAGAACTGAAACTCTATCCTTCATAACAGGGTTCTGCCTTCATAGCAGGGTTCTTTTTTTTTTTTCTGTTATGTTGTTGAGGAGTTTTCTGAAACTTTACTTCATCACCAAGGTTCCATTGATTCACCACTGCAATTTTTTTGACCTGCCACTCTGTACGGAATTGTATGGAATTGCAAGCTGCCCCCCCTTGTTTCTGCCCTACTGCCATTGCT